GTGAAGGCCAACAGCAGCCCCCCGAGCGACTTCCAGCCGTGGTACCCATTCCTCACCAGATACGCCCCGGCGAAGTATGGGCTAAACGCCTTCAACACCGAGTGATCATACCGCACGAGATTGTATATCCCCGCGGCGAGGTTAAACAGCAGCCACATCACCACAATGGGCGCGAACCCCGTCCCCAGCTTAGAGGTGCCAAACGGCTGGATGGCAAACAGCGCGACGAGGATGGCGCACGAGATGCCCACAATCGCCGACCGCGTCAGCGTCGGATCCGCCACGGTAATCCCCTGGATCGCGCCCAGCACCGACTGCGCGGGCGTGAGCACGCCGTCGGCAAGGACCAGACTCACGCCCAGCACGCCGATGGCCTTGAGGGCGAACTGGGCGGGGCGGGAGCGCTCGAGGAAGGCGCGGACGCTGCGCGAAGCCGGGCCGAGGTCGTTAGTGGCGCGGCGGTCGAGCGAGACGGTGGTGAGGTCCAAGGGGGACTCCTTGGTGATGTTGGTGAAGCGCGCGAGGAGCGAGTAGAGCGCAAAGGTGCCGCCTTGGCCGTCGTCGTCGGCGCGGAGGACGATGAAGGTGTATTTGATGGTGACGATGAGAGTCAGGGCCCAGATGACGACGGAGAGGGCGCCGACGAGGTCGTGCCACGAGGGCTGGGCGGTGAAGGTCGAGGAGTAGACGTAGAGGGGGGAGGTGCCGATGTCACCGTAGATGGTGCCTGCAGATTGGAAAGATAGCCAGAGGAGCACGACGCCGGTGTATTCCTGGGGTGTGGGACGAAATTAGTTACATTAGGGTAAAGGGGGGATGGGGTGGAGGGACGAACCTGTTTGCGTTTTTGCGAGAGATCTTCCTCGGCAATCTTGCGAGCCTTTTCCTCGTTATCGAGGTCGTCGAGGTCCGGGGACGAGACCTTTTCCGAGAGGCCATCGACGCCGGCCATGACTTGGTGCTTTTCCGACTTGGACTGAACCCCCTCGGCAAACTGGATGCGCCCGGGCTCCTCGCTTTGGGCGGCCATTTTACTACGATTTCTCTCGTAATGGTATCGAATGTTGCAGCGTGGGACCACAGGGTAGTGCATCGGGGCATGTCTGTTTCAAAGATATCGGAGTAGCTCGCCAACTTATACACAGAAGCTCGTACCTCCCACCCACGCCGTCAGACAACCCACCCGACCGAGAAATCGGAGGCGAGCAAAGAACGCCAACGCCGGAAACGAACACAAGATGCGCCCGTTGACATGTTGTGCATACTCCCCCACGAGATACCGAGCAAAACTTTCGTCAAGTCAATGACATGATGGCCAACACCCGAGACCACATGGACCCCGGGAACCACAGAACCGCCCACTATTAGGAGCGATCAGACCCAACTGGGCTGCTGTGACTTCTGCCGGCCGGCGGGCGGGAAACCACATACATGGCGATACCTTCTTTCCTCAGGTTCAGACCGCCAGAGCCATGTCACGGCAATGTCCATAGAGTTTTCCCTCCACCGGCTGGAAGCGGTATAAAACGCATCGGGAAACATGTCAGTGTGGCAGTGCTGATGCCCACCTCGCATTTCTGATCCATTCCGGGGGTAGCTATCGGCCCTCTCCCATTCGTCCCTCCGTAAATCGCTCACGTTGGGAACCCAAGTCATCGTCCGGAGTACTGGTCTAGGTAACGCGGTCGTAGCGGGCGTTGAGCAATATCCGTTGATCATCCGTGGTCGCAGTGGTGGGATCCACGCTGACGGGACCCGATCGATAGCTCGGAGCTCGGGGATTGGTCCGGGGAGCTGTGGCCAGCTCCAAAGCTTGTTTTGATGTTGGAGGTTGTCATGCAGGGACGTCCTGAAAAGGGAGGCTTGCACCCCCACGTCTGACCCCCATTTAAGGGAGGCCGCCTGTTGTATGCGTGGCAGTGGAGGTGGATGCACGCCGGCGATTCTCTCCGCATTTCAGGGCGGCAAACTCAAGCTTGGATCCCCCGTTGTTGCATGCTTCACCGGGAATACCTACTTGGCGAGAATGGTCTAGGCTTTGGGTTTGTTGGTTGGTCTGCGAGGAGGTATCTAGCTGCTGCTTTTTTTTTTACAAACTGAACTCTCGACTGTTATTGTTTCCCCCTTCCTTAGGAAAAATGTGCTAATATTGGACTTCCATCTATTTTGCAGATTTATTTTCCTTCCTCAAGTATGTCGAATGCGCGCTTCTTTGAGCTTCTCTTCTACTTGAACCATGTTCAGAAAGGGCTCTTTGCCCAGGTAGCGAGCATCCGCGGGGAGCCAGGGGCGACAAATGGAAGCCTATGAGATAGTCTTGGCCTGCAACATACGCTGTCCCTTGAAGGGGAGGCGCAAGATTTGAGGGCTGTGGACATCGACATCGGTGTCGGGTTTGCATCCGTGTTGACGTGTTGACTGTGGCACGCGATTTCGACACGCTGGATGGAGAAAGGAGGCAAAGTTGAAGACGTACCGACAAAGACGGAAACGAGGTCCTCTGGCCAGGCCTCAACGAGCGGGTTGGCCGCTGTTTTCTTCATGTTTGGCGGCATAGTGGGAACTGGGAAGAACCCGTCAGGCTGTGTCATTTCTGATTTGCTGCCAAGCCGCGAAGCTGGCTGCACCGACCTATATGCCTATTGCACATTATGGACGGGCAGGCGGTGGAGTGGTGGGGCGCCCGCAGGTACATGCGCCGCCGCGGGTCTGAACTGCAGAAACTGACAAAAACATCTACAGTCCTTTGCAACAATTACACCTCCTTCCACCACCACCCCCTTCCTCTTAAACAGCAACTATCAACGGCGCCATCAATCCCACAGCCCCCACCACCCACCCCTTGACCCCAACCCCCATCCCGCTCGCCGCCGACCCCGAGGTGCTTGCCGGGCTAGACGCATTAGCCGTCGCCGTCCCCGTCTTTGCCGTCGTCTTCGTCACAGTGGTGCTAGCGGCGGAGGTGCTCCGTCCCTTGACCTCCTCACACGACACAAACCCACCATTCGTCGGCGCCCCCGTATGCGTCATCGTGCCCACATACTCGCATCTGCTGCTCCCAGGCTTGACCACGATCCTATCCGGGCCCGGGGAGCCTGCACCGCATTTAGCTACCGCACACCGCGCACTGGAACGCGAACGGAGACTCACGCCCGGCATAAACAGCACCTCCAGAGATTACAGGGAACTCCTGGTACGGCCCGGACGCGGCAAAGACAAGGCCTTCCCGGTTGTTGAACTGATGCGGGTAATTGTTGCTACCGAGTTGTTGGCCGGCAGCGTGCAGTCGGCAGGCTTCGGTGGTCGCGTCGAGGATTTGCTGGGCGGTGTAGCGCGTGCTGCCGCAGGTCACCGACACGAGGGAGCTGGTGCCAGCGACGGATTGGGCCGTGGCGAAGGCCGCGAAGGCCGTCGTGAGAAGGAGCAGCTTCATCGTCGCGGCGGTGGTGACGTGAGTGAGTGGGAGTGAGGTTGGAGACGGGACATCGTGAGCTGAAGAGGACCTGCTGGGGGAAAATCATGGGAAGGGAGCGAAATGCCAAGATGGTCTTGTCGGGGATCAGCCGCAATCGCCTATCGTGGATGTGGTTAGTCGACGAGGTTGTGATTCGTTGGACAGGAGGGTGGAATTTCGATTTCAGCCGGTCAAGGAACACCGGCACATCGGATGGAGACTTCCTCACGTGCAAATGTCTTGAAGCTTATTCCGGCGACGACGACAAAGCATCGGCGGCATTGGCTCAATTTTCAATACCTGTTTGTGTCGCAAGGTCTTTATCAATCTTCCCACGACCGCCTCTCCCACGACCACCTGCCCCCCGACCACCTCTCCCACCGACAAGCAAAACACCACACGAATCTCTCCAAATTCCCCTCAAGACCCTGACTGACGTCAACACAACCCACACCCGCGAAATTACCACCCCTCGTCCGTCTTGGCAATCAGATCGCCGTCCATCTCCCGCTCCCACGAGGATCCGACCCCTCGTCCACTGGTTCCTGACCACCAACCGTCGCAACGTCACTATAACCTCAACACCCTCCAAAATGGACGAAAAAGCCATCGTCACCCTCCTCACCACGGGGCTCGACGACATCCCCTCTGTCATCCGCAAGCTCTCGGAAAGCGTCGTCGCCTCCATCCCAGCGACCAAGACCGAGCCACACGAGACCGAGGACTTCGTCTGGACGGTCTGGAACGCCGTCTTCGAGGCGGCCGGCCAGGCATCCAGCGAGAAGCAACTCCACCTCATTGTCGAGTTCCTCGTGCAGCTGAGCAAGGTCGAAGTCAAGGATCCGGCGACGGGCGAGGTGCTCATGCGCGACGGTGACAAGGTGTGGACGGATCTGCCCAGGTTTGGGTGGGTGACGAGGGATTGGTTTAATTTTGGTACGTTCACACCCCTTTGTGATTTCTCTATGCGGGATCGGGGCTGACATGGCACCACGACAGAGCCATCCCAAGTCGAAGGGGAGGAGCTCGCCAGGTTGGAGCGGCAGGTGAAGATGCTTGCGTACTTGATGGCGTATCCGGGTGACGATGGCGCAAATGACATCTCCCTGTACGCATTCTGGGCGCTGAGAGATGCGTTCGAGGGGAAGGGCCCTATTGCATCCAGCGCCGTGAGGCTGGCAGCGCCGTGGGTGCTCAATGTCGCAAAGCATCTATGGCAGCACACTGAGCCAGGGACGGAGCTGCCTGCGAGATGTGGCGTGCCAGGCGAGAAGTATGCCGAAAAGGAGTGGAGGGGATTCAACAAGGAGAGGTGGGCGGTGTGGAGGGATGGGTTCGTGGCGGCGCAGGCTGAGGTCAAGGACGAAGAGGTGAAGACGATGGCGGGCAGAGCAGCCGAGATAATGAAGGAGCTCGAGGGATAGCTGGTAAGCCTGGTTTGCGCCTCGAATTGATCATGAAATAGATGCCAAGACGGTTGCTAACTCCAAAAACAGAGAGCAAGTATTGGCATCGATTCTGATGGCATCCATAAGACCAAGTCCCGGGATCCCTGGCGTAACGGTAGCGCGTTCGACTCCAGATCGAAAGGTTATCCGTTAAAAGCGGGTGGGGTTCAATTATTTGCTCTTTTGCAGTCCTTGACCTTCCGTTTGGAAGCTCGCTTTTATTCTTCTTGGTTTTGCAGTCAAGAGATTGGCGTAGAGGCTCGGGAAAAGAGGGCAAGGTACCTATGGAAGTATCACTGTATCAGTCGTTACCTCGTAACTTCAATACATTGTTATTCAACTGCCAACATTACTACCATTATCTGTTCCAGGTTTCTCATCCTCCACTTCCCCCCCGTCTTGCGGGTCATCTCGGGGCTTCTTCAACTCCCCCACTGACCTGAGCTTCTCATAATACACATCCTCGCGCTCGTCGATCCCCACTGGGGACAGTTCCTGCGGATTGTTATCCTCGCTCATCTCCAGCCGCACATCGCCCTTCCCGTCCAGTTCCTGCGCCCCCTTGTCCTGGTAGCTGCTCAGCTCGACGAGAACACACCCATCCAGCTCCGGCTTGTTGTCCACGCCTCCCACCTCCTCGGCGCTCATACCTCCCTGCTTCGCGTCCCGTGCCAAAGCAGCTGCCTCCTCTTTGTCCCGCTTCGCCCTCTTCTTTCGCTGCGCCATCACCACGGCAGCAAGAGCCCCAATCATCGCAAGCGCCGCCACAAAGCCAACCACAATGCCCGCTATTCCGCCGGTGCTGAGACCGCTAGGTGTGAACGTCGTTTCCAAGTTGGTAACGGTGGAGTTTGTCGGCGTTTCCTTGCTGACCTCCACCGTATCCTCGTATTTGACGCCGATGCTGGTGTACAGCCCCGACTGATCGTTCCACGTGTAGTACTTGGGCTGTCGCCCGGGGCTGTTGTACGCGTCATCGGTAATGTTCAACGTCTTGATGTAGGCGCGCTTGGGGCCATCGGTGAAATTGGCGAGACCACCGGCCCACTCCACAGTGCCGGCGGCAGTGGTATTGCGGCCGGCGACCCAGCAGGCAATGAGGAGAGTCATGGGGGCTTGGCTGGGGAGTGTTAGCTTGGGCTTTTGTGCTGAAGTATATATGTTTGGGGGGGAGGGGGGTCCGTACGGGAAGCCATTGCTCGTGCCGTCTTCCTCCTTGCGATAGTTCACCGTTCGCACCACGTTCCCGTCGACCAGCCACTGGAGCCACTTCGTCTCCCACAAGAAGCTATACGTGTGAAAGTTGGTCGACGGCCCATTGACGGGGTGATGCTGCAGGCGGTCGTCCAGGGACGTGTTTCCCTTGCTGAAGAAGACGGTTTGCACCGTTGTGTCATTGGCGCCCGTCCACTCGAAATTGACCTCATCGCCGTCGGGCGAGGTGAGTAGAAGGGAGGTGACAATTCCGGCGCCGGGAGCCGATCTCATCTCGACATCAACCCGCCCGAAGAAGATGTGCTGTGGGACTTCAACCTTGGGTGCATCGGTTACACCGGTCATGAGGAGGACGAGTCCCTTTCCGTCCTCCTTTTGCGGGGGGAATTGCTGGGAGATGTCAAAGTCGAGTGGGCCATTCACCTTGGCGATGTAGTCCCCGAGAGATTGGTTTCGGAAGTCGATGTGGATTGTTTCTCCTAGCGCGGGGACGGGCGGGCAGACTAAGACGCAGCATCAGCACTCCAAGAAGAGATACATTCCACGGTCCACAAACTTGTTTGCCGCCCGCAGAACTCCGATAGTTGGGCTGCCGCGTAGTTTGTTGAGACAGACAGAAAAAGAAAGGCGCGCACACATGCGCGCGTCCAGCTCATCATGATGCAGCGGACGTGTCTGTCGGCGGCAGCATGGCGGAGGTGATGTATGTGTGGGAGGACGGCGCGCATGAGGGCAGCGGGGGCGGTCGTCGAGGTTTTGTGGTTACAGTAGGCAACACTGAAAGGAAGGGCAGGGGTTATTCTAGATTGCCCACGGTCGTGCCGCTGCGGCGCATCCGAGAGTTGCCTCGGCGCGTCATGCCAAAGGGCCGGGGCTGTCGATCATGAGCTGCCGGCCCCTGGGTTTGACTATTATCAGAAAAGGAATGGGCAGTGAGAAAGAATAACGATAAAAGATAAGTGCTATCCTTCTGGGCTACGCGCTGTTGAAAGTCTGTCGGGACAATTGGCTTCCTCGTTAATATGCATTTCGTGTCACCCATAGACGCGTGTGGAAGTATTGAAGGCCTCGGCTCAACCGCCGGCAAAATGTTACATTTCAGGACGATGTGGATTCAGTCAACATTACGGATTACCTAGTCCCACGATGACTTGACTTGAAGGCTTGAATTTTTCTCACTGGCTAGAGTTTGGATGGGCTGGGTGCGTTCCAGCTGTCGTTACTGAAGTTGATGAGATCGAATTTCGACCGCATTGACACACGTCGGCGGAAGTGGAAGGTGGGCGTATTTCCATCACAGTGGCAGGAGGCTGGTGCGGCACAGGAGCAAGATCGGCCTTTCTCGGTCGCGTTTCGAACGGGTGTGCCGCAAACGGGTGCGAAGAGGGTTGCATAACTATAATAAAGACGGGCGGCTGCGGATCTGGATGAGAGTTGCAAGTTGCGTGGAGAAGTTGACGCGGCGCCGCTAAAGGGGCAAGAAACACCCAGAACACCAGAAAGGGATCATTCTCGTCGATGTTTTCAACGTAGCGGGAATGAAAAGCTCTTCCCCATCTTGCCATTATTTTTGCAGGTACTACTAATACGCCAGTGGGTGCTCAAGGGAAGGCAAGGGTGAGAGTAAACTCTCCTGCAATTCGCCTTTTCTCCTTCTTCATCCCACAGCCGCTCTCGTGAGCTGAACGTATCAGCATGTCGAGAGCGTTCCTGTCCAAGCTTCCATGTCAGTATCAACCTTTGCTCCTACCCCCGAAATTGAATCGGCCTTGACAAAACTTACGTTTGCATCCAAGATCAGTCCAGCGAATCGACAACCAACAGTCCCAGGCGGGCACAAATCCCCAAGCGCTGCTTCCATGTCAGCGACCTTTCAAGAATATCCAGAGATGGAGCTCACGTCTCTCCATCGATGCTTTCACCATCTGTCGTCATGCACTGCACCGCAAACGTCTGCCCCGGCTTCGCACTGGCAACCGACGAATAGCTTCTGCTCGGACCCTCGCGGCAGTATACGTTTGCGCTGGTTCCCTCGATTTTGCACACGCTGTTTGCTCGTGGGAGACTGACAGCGGCGCAAAGCAGGCCATGGATGGCTGCGGTCAGGATGATGGTGGACGACAACTTCATTGTATGATTGACGAGGAAGCGATGGGTGATCAATCCAGGGTGGGCCGGAATGAGAGCGACGGAAGGACGTTATATGTATATCTTGACAACATATCAAGACCTTATATTTTCTCGGCCTCTGACCTGTTTTTCTCTCATTTCCACATTCCGAACTTCGCTAACTTGCCAATCAGACTCGCGGACATGCCATTTTCGAGAACGATGGCATTTGTCTTGAGTCAAAGTTGAGATACGATTGGTCGCATGAGTGGCGAGTACTATGGAAGTATCCAGTCTCGTTTCGGTTGTTAACAATGGAGAATTATCCGGCCCAACAACACAACGACTTCCGACAATGGCACTCACAAGAAGCAGGTTCTGACTGCGCCCGGACGGCACACCAAAAAACATCCATGGAGGCCATTCTCTCGGCCATTCTACCGGTCACGACCCTTGAATTAAAACCATGAAAGACAGAAAGATGGCACGGAACTCCGACTCGGACAACGATACCAAACAATTCAACAATATCAACTCAAATTGTTCAGGGCGGTTTCATTCGGTCCATTTACAACTAGGTAAGGCTGCTGCTCTAAAGCATGACGTTCATGGGAAAATAGTCCAGGTCGAAATAGACGTGGTAGATCCCATGATCACCGCCATTGTCGACCCCCTCCATCCGGATGAAGTGAGTGTATGTGATGATTCTCGAATCATCGCTCCGAAATACCCTCTGTTTCGACCTCCGAAAGTCTGGTTGTTTGACCAGCATCTGCCCTTCGGGGTACGGATTGTCGCCAGGAAACCAGTCCTTCTGGATGCTCGTGCCGACCGACCAACGGCCATTCCAAAACCTCTCCTCGCGATTGTACGCTTTGAGAACTTCGTTTTCTCCCTGACCCTCCCCAAGCCAGTTCAGCGCCCCTGCTAGTCCTCCATCCCCAGCCAAACCATTCACGCAAGTGTTTGCCACATCCTCTTCTTCGCTGTTGTCGACCTCAACCAGTTCGCTGAACACCCTGATCTCGGCAGGCGGCCCCTCGTAGAGAATATTCCCCGCCGTCACCGGCCACACCCTCACATGATCTTTGAACCTCCAGTCCGAAATCTTGAAGACCCAGCTCGCCCTCTTCATCGCCGGCACCAACAGTCCAATCGCCCCCGACATCTCATCCTCGGTCTCCTGCCTCGCCACGCACTCCAACCCAGCAAACTTGACCCTCACCCTCCCCGTCTGCACCCCCTGCGCTCTCGGCCAATCCAGCGGTACCCTTATATACCCCCCGCGAAAGTCCATCTTCATAAACCCCCTGCCCCCATCATCAACCTGTACAAACCACGCCCTCATGCCCCTATCCACTGGTAGTCCCAGCACCCCCGTCGGCCCCCCCAACCTCCTATATTCCCCCCAGAACAGATCCTGCCACGCCACTGTCCCATTCCTTCCGTCCCTCCGCGTATTAAACGTCACCACCCCGCCCTCAAACGCCACCACCGCCTCCGTCTCGCTCCCCTCCGCCCCGCGCTGGACCCCCGTCAAAGGATATCCCAGCCACCCCCTCTCGCGCCCCATCGCGGTCCACTGCGCCATCGGGTTCCCGTACACCTCGTTCGCCCCCGTCTGCGGCGTCCAGTAGATGGCCCCGCCCCCGGAGCCAAACGTGTTGAACCACCCGCGCCCGTCGGGACAGCCTGTCCAGTCGCTGGTGGGGAAGCCGAGCGGGCCTTTGGGTCCGCCGAGGGCGAGGTAGCGCGAGAGGATGGCCCCGTTGACGGCCCAGGCGGTGGTGGAGGCGCGCTCGGTGTAGATGGTGCCCGAGTCAAACTCTTGGAAGAAGCCGCCTGT